GCTGTGGTGAAACCAAATTCGCTTAGGAAACACTGAATTATGTTCCATTTGCACATTGTAACCCTATAAAGTCATCTGGAGCCGTGTTTTGACAACGTAATCGTCTCTGAAATCCCCTTGGCCTTAAACAGGAGCCACGAATGCAACACTGTGCCCTGCATAAGCCATAGGACTTCGGTAACCTATGAAATAAGAAGGCGAAAAATTAAAATTGAAAATAATTTACTGTATTATACCTAAATTAACAGCAGGAAGGTACTGAGCAAATTGGCACAGCGGTAACACTTTAGGTAGGCCGCACACTGGCATGCGTCAAGACATGTAACAGTCAAGACACGATGTCTGCGACATGACGCAAAGAAAGGAGCACAGTTGAAACGCATGAGATTATGAAAACCGCCGCACACCGGTCTGAGTAATGATGCTGACGAATCACGAATGAAGCAAGACTGCGTCTTTTGTCCTCATGTCCTGATGCCTGTCTTGACGCAGTTTGTGTGCGGCCGCCCTTAGACTCGCATTCGGAAGGTTCTCGGTTCGAATCTCAGCCAAGATATCTCGTATACTGATTTTCGTGGTTTTTTTTCAAATTTTCCAAGCAAATGAGCTGTAGCCTCGCAGTGAATGTAGCGCCCAGTAATCTGGAGATCGTTACGTTACAGAGTTACTAGATCTTGTTCTTAACGTGAGATGGGAACCCCAGAATTCCATACCGAGCTCTCACTGAACACACAGGGCGTTTCTTCCATAAGGGTTCCTACTCGAAGGGTGACGTACCCTTGAAGAAGTCTTTACAAATTACCACATGAAGAGTAAGATTTTCTGGGTTGTCACACCGTGTCGTTGAGAGACGAACGTTTCGAAAGAACATATCACCTCGATCTTCAAGGTCGAAGAGTAAGCTACGCGAGGAAGAAGCTTACCGCTTACTGGTTTCTTGCTTGGCTTAGCTTTTTTAACCCGAAGATGGAGGCGATAAGTTCCTTCGAAGCGTTGACCTCCCTCCGAACTACCCCGTGTTACAACGCAGAAGACCGCATTCATCATTGCTACCGCCATGAAACCCAAAAATCCAACAAAAATTTCCACACGATTTAATACTCGGTAAGTGGCACCACTGAGTTAACCTGCCCGGTACCGCGTTGCTGAATGTCCATGCAAAACAGTCGCCTTCTGCAGTGTGATTATGTTCTAGACAGATCACCAGCAGCGGTGCAAAGCGTCAAGTGAACACAGCTTGAAGTTGCGTCGTCACCAAAGCCGTGAGAAATTTCAGGTTTGGTGATTCTTGGCTTATCTAATGTTACGTGGTGATCTCTGAATTATCATTAATTGGAAAATGGTTTCGAAGTAAGTGTTGTCATCTGTTTTTAGGTAGCAGAGCACCGCATACCTCGATGGGTCGATAAATACCGCAGATGATTCAGTTACAATAGCCACTCTTATACCCTGAAGATGGTGGCGACACATTCCTCCGAATCAGCTGTAAACATGTAGCAGAAGAGAACACCGGCGAGTGATATTCATGTGTTGTGATGAATTATAGAACGATGCGTAATCGCTTCATGGACACTACCGAGTATACTCGTTGCATCAGACAGCCTCATGCCTGTGGCCATCTGAATTATAGTGCTGAATTACTCACCATAAAGAGCGCCTTCATAATTTTTCTTTGCCAAATATTATTAAGCTCGTCAAATCAAGAAAAATGGAATTGAAGGGGCGTGTAGCACGCATGGGAAGTAGATAATTGCATAGGAAATGGTGGTTGTGAATGGTTAAGGAAAGAAATTACTTGAAAGACCGAATTGTAGATGGGTGGGTGATATTAAAATGAGTCTGAAATCAGGGTGGGAGTGTGTGGACTATATTCATTTGACTCACTATAGAGACAAGTAACAGGCTCTTGTGAATACGCTTATGAACCTTCTGAATTTGTTGACTAGCTGAGCAGCTACAAGCTTCTCAAGAAGGATTCTGCTCTTTGGAAATATGAGTAGTTAAGACCGGCTGTTGTGAACAAGGTAAAGAACCATGGGGTTCCATAAAATGCAGGCGATTTGTATACTAACTGAGAAACTATTGCCTCAAGAAGGGGTGGTGTCAGTCTCCTCAAGATTCACGGAACGTGAGTGAAATGAAATGTGACTGAGCGTACACAGGGTATGTCGGTTATCCGTGAAGTTCTCCAGCCTGTCTGACTGCTTCGACCTTGAGAAGAAATGTTTTTTCAGAACTGGTTTAGTAGAACAGCCCGGGGAATACCCAACACATACGGTATTCAGGGCTGGAAATGAGGGTAGATGAGGGTCGACACCGTCTGGTTTGTTTCAGGGCGCTTCATTTTCAGCAAGATATTTCCAGGGCCCGCCTCCGCGACTCGTATTTGCGGCCTCCTTTTTAAGCAAGGTTTACCCTGACTCCCCCCCCCCCCCAAAATTACGTCAGTGGCTCGCACTTTACGACTGCCCAGGTGACCGGGGTGCAGTCCAACAACCTGCCCTCTCTACAGATGCAAATCATGTAAAGGGAAAGAACTGAAATTTGTTATATTAATTTTTTAAATGTTTACAATATTATATTTGAGCATCCTGTTACACTCACACAATATATATGAGACAAACACCGTCTTAAGTGTAACAATTGTTA